TACAAACGTTATTTATGTTTCTGCAAAAGTAGATGTGTTCCTATTTTCTATGGTGCCTGTTTTAGTATTAAAAGAAGATCATTTTATTCTGTAGAGCTTTTTTTAGTATAAAATTCAACCTCTCCACCTCACCACCTCCAATTACTGCCACTACCAAAACTGAAAAAATGTGATAATAAGTTTTGCTAGTTTTGTTACAGTAAATATTCCATAATACTTGGTTTCCTTCCTGATTGAGCTAAAAAATGACAAACCTGTATACACCAGGTAATGTTCACGGAGAACATCAGAAGTTTCTGTAGAGATTGTTACAGGCTCTTTCCTAGCCCTTCCATACACACTGGCTCTGGGGTCATTAATGGGTAATTCCTTTACATGGTCACATATGTGCAACTTACTTATTTAACTTTCAGTGGAATCTTGTACATAGCTGGATTTCCATTAAGGTCTGTACATTTTTTTTTTTAAATCATCAACTGTGATATTTATAATCATAAAATACCTCATCTAAGAAACATTTAATATGACTTTGCTTTTGTTCTGTTCTTGACAAACCAGGAACTTAAAAGTTCATGAGATGTTTTATTTTTTAATTTTGCATTTTTTTTCTTTCTTTCTTTCTTTCTCCTTTCTCTTTCTATCTTTCTTTCTTTCCTTCTTTCCTCTTTCTTTCTCTCTCTTTCTTCCTTCTCTCTCTCTCTTTCTCTCTTTCTTTCTTCTTTCAACAGAGTCTCACTCTGTCACCCAGGCAGGAGTGTGCAGTGGCGCAATCCTTGGTCACTGCAACCTCTGCCTCCTGGAGTTCATACAATTCTCCCACCTCAGCCTCCTGAGTAGCTAGGATTACAGGCATGCAACACCATGCCTGGCTAATTTTGTGTGTGTGTGTGTACTTTTTAGTAGAGACAGGGTTTCACCATGTTGGCCAGGCTGGTGGGACCTCAACTGATCCACCTGCCTCGCCTCCCAAAGGGCTGGGATTATAGGTGTGAATCACGGCACCTGGCCTCTTTTTTATTTTTATTTTTTGAGATGGAGTCTTGCTCTGTCTCCCAGTCTGGGGTGCAATAGCGCAACTTCAGCTCACTGCAACCTCTACCTCCCAGGTTCAAGTGATTCTCCTGCCTAAACCTCCCAAGTAGCTGAAATTATAGGGGCCTGACATCGCTTCTAGCTAATTGTGTATTTTTTAGTAGAGATGTGGTTTTGTCATGTTGGCCAGTCTGGTCTTGACTCCTGACCTCAGGTGATCCACCTGCCTCAGCCTCCCAAAGTGCTGGGATTATAGGCATGAGCCACCACACCCACCTTTTTTTTTTTTTTAATTGAAACGAGGTTTTACTATGTTGCCCAGGCTGGCTGGTTTTGAACTCCTGAGCTCAAGTGATCCTCCCACCTCAGCCTAGGCAGTCCTCTAGCCTCAGCTTCCCTAAGTGCTAGGATTGTTTTGGATTTCTTAATCATCTCAAAAGCATATGAATGTGAGGCTGCATTTACCTTTGTACTCCCATGCTACCTCTCCATCTTAGGATTTGTAACTCTCTGGCAAATGAACCATCATTCACTCCCAACAAGGTGTAACACACCTGCCCACTTGGCGGCAGGACCTACATGTGTCCATCTGTCTAGAACTCCATATAAACTCGAGGGCTGCGTATTTTCAGCTAACCTAGACCCACTTTTGCAAACTGGTTCATTTCTCCCCCTCTTTACTGTGCTTCAGAAGAGATGGGGTAAAATGTTCTTCTATTCATCACCCACACATACCAGGCCACTCTTCGGCTTCCACTGTAATTCTTTCCCTTCATTTTAATGCTGAGAAAGAGTAAGTCTCACTCTCTTGCCCGGCAGCATTTTGCAAAACAATTATCATTTGACACCAGAAGGCAACGCAAGGTTTTGAAAACCTATCAATTTATTTTCCCCATCTCTCCACCCCTAACTGTGATAAAATATCTCCGCCGCCAGGCAGCCTGTAACCTCATAAACGCTCTGGTGTTTTTGGGAAAAAGACCTCAAATGACACTTGTTGATAACATTTTGCTTCTCTACAAAAACACAACTCTCTTAAGTACTTTGCTTACATCAGCTATGAGAATCAGGTTGGCAATGTTCTAAGGATGAGTTAGAATTATTAGACCTGTGAAGATAAACCATCTGGATAGCTGTCTCTTATGTTTAGCCTCCCTTTTGTGACTTCAGGACATTGTTTTTTCTTATACTAAAATCAAATCACTAAATCAAGGCAAAAGGGAGGCAGTATTGTGGTACGCGTGAGGTGGTGGTTTAATGACGGCACAGACTACTCTTGTTTCCACTAGTTATCTCTATGTGATTCTTACATGCACACAAACACACACCAGTTCAGATGAGCAGCCTGGGCTTTGTGACAACCTTTGGTGCAGCTCCAAGAAGGTAAGCCTTAAAATAAGAAAAGGCTTGGGTGAATATACAGCATTTGTCTAATCTAAAATGGGGCATTCAGTAAATTCGTGTCTAAAACCTTTTCTACAGACTGTAGGAAATGTTCAAAGTCACCCGTTACTTAAGAAAGAAGGGAAGGTGGGCAGGAACAGGGTGCAGCAGGGAAGGAGAAGCCCTTGGGGTACCCTTGTGAGGCACTGGCAGGGCACAGTGGCAACAGAAGAGACAACATTTTATCAAAGGACACTGGTTGGCTCTCTAAACAAAGGTCTCTAGAGAATATGCCACACTGTGAACACTTATCACCAATAAAATTCAAAGTAAAAAGTAGCTTACAATGTGGGCTACATATTAAGGAGCTTATTGAGTTGCAATCATTCAAAAGTTCAGAGCACAGAATCCAAATAGGTATGTGTCAAACGAAGGAGTCAAAACAAATCTCCGTTTGCAACTGCCTTCCCAAAGCTGTTAGGCTTTACAATGAGCGCTGCAATCAAAATAGGTGCATATTCTATATAAATACCCGTTAAAGTCTCTTTACTTAAAAGGAAAGAATTAAGACAGTACCACAACACAGGAGTGCCGTTCGTCGCACCCCGTGGCCACTTCGGACACCTACCCATCAGGGTAGCGTGCCACTGCCTCTCCATCACCAAATCCTCTCCCGGCCTTAGAACACAGCTGCATCCCGCTGGTGGCCCTGCCAAAACGGTCCCCACATGCAAAGTGCAGGGTGTCAATGCCCCATCGCTGAAGAGCCTGCAGCGCTAGATTTGCAATGACGCCACATGGAGAAAACATGAAAAGAAACAAGGACGAGAAGGCGACACTAAACAAAAACGTGCTCCCCTTCTTTAGTGGTCCATAAAAAAAAAAAACAAAAAAAAAAAAAAACGAAAGAAAAAGAAAAGAAAAAGGAAAAGGAAAAGGAAAAAAAGAAATCCCAAACTAGAAGTGGTCAAGACCGCCTTATCAGGACACATTTGGGATACTCCTAATCTTTACCTGGGCTACGAAACAAATGTTTAAAAATTAGAAGTACCTGGGAAACCAACTTGGACGCATTATAAAACAGAATCTCCCACCGTCACCATTACCACCAGCCATGGATAAATAAAAACCCAGCACTTAAGCTTCTAGAAACTACATTTTAATTACAGAGCTGAGGTTTACATAATCGCAAATTACATAATACTGCTGTGCACTAAAAACCCTTCCATAGGTGAAGCTTCACACCATCCGGTCTTTTTAACATTTTCCAGAGAGGGCTGGAAAAGTCTGCTGAATAATTGAGGGGAGAGAGGGAATGGGGTGCTGGAAAAGTCACCCTTGACAAGCAGCACAGTCGACCAAACGTTCCAGGATAAAGAGGGACTCAGAGCAGGTGATTCCCCTGCGCCCCAGTGTCCGGGCGTCTAAGGCCGAGGGAGGGCGAGCGGGCGCGGGGCGCAGGGCCGGGGCTTACCTGCTCCCCGAAGTCGATGGCTATGTTGGTGATGCCCAGGGGCACCAAGAACCGGATCAGGGGCCAGTAGTGAGTGAGCGCCGGGAATTTCACCATAGTCCCCACCGTGGGCTGACCCCACACACATCTGCCGCCGCGAGGGGACTCTGCAGGGAGGCGAGGGGCGCGGGGCGAGCTGGGCGCGGGCGGACTGAGGCCGCGTGCGGCGGGGCCTCCGGCGGGGCGGCGGCTGCGGCTCCTTCTCCGAGCGCGGCTGCTCTAGCAGGGGATCCGCAAGCTCAAGTCCATCCCTGCTGCCCTCCCACACAACAAAGATCTGCCGGGAAAAAAAAGAGGAGGGACGGCGGCGGCGGCGGCGGCGGCAGCGGCAGAAGGTTCTGCTGACAGCGGCTCCATTATAAGCGCTCTGGGGCCCGGAAATAAATAACCGCGCGCACGAGGCGCCGCCGCCGCCGCCGCCGCCGCCCGGAGGAAATCAGGGGCGGGCGCGGAGGCGCGGACACCGCCGGCGGCCCCGGGGGCGGGCTGGGGAGGGGGCCGGGCCGGGCGCGCCGAGGCCTCTTTCCGTGAGACGCCGCCTGCGCTCTGTACGGCCGCTGGGGGCGCTGCGCACACTCAGGCCGCGGGGTGGGCGCCTCCGGGGCGCGGGGCGGGGTTCTCCGCTGAGCCATGGACCGCCCGGGGGCTGCGGCGCTGAGGGCGCGGCGGGGACGGCCTGGGGACGCGGGGGCGCTAGCGGGCGCGGGGGCGTTGGGCCGCCTCGAGGCCCGGGGACGCCCCGGCTCGGCGGCCGGGCCCTGTCTCCCGCATCCTGCGGGGCCGGGGGCTGGGGGTTCCAGCGCTGGGTTCCCCGGGAGGGCCCGGGCGTCTGGAAGACTTGGCAGCCAGGGCAAGCGACGTGGGCGCGGACGCGGGAGGCGGGCCGGGGCGCGGGGCCCGGCGCCGCGGGGCTGGGAAGGGCGCCGTCCCGCGGTGGCCGGGGGCTGGCGGCGGGCGGGGACTGCGGAGGAGGCAGCTCGCGCCGGGGCTAGGGCCTGCTTCGGAGGACTAGCGGCCCGGGAGGGATGGAGCTGCGGCTCCGGGAGGGCGAAAGACGCGAGGAAAGGTCGGTCGCCCAGGAGGGAGCCTGTCACCCAGGGTTTCCAGGGGAGACTGTGGCCCACGTCCCTGGGGAAAAAATGCGCCGAGGCAGCAGGGAGCGATCCCCGCAGGCGCCCAGGCTGAGGCCGGCCGCCTTCTGGGGCGCTGAGACCTGCCTGCTGCAGGCAGTTCGCAAACAGTACGCCCGGATTCTTTTCAGTGTAAAAAGGCCCTATTAAAAATAACTCCTTAAGCCTATCATCTCTTTTAAATAAAGGAGAAGAAAGAGAAAAGTGTGTTCTGTTTTGTAAGACCTGATTTTAGGTAACTAGTCGTGGCACTGAGAGTTTGACCTAAGGCTCAGCAGTGTGACAGCAACTACAGCATCCATCCCCGCATCCCAGCACTGTGTGCCGCGAGGGAGGAGGACCTGGGGAATGAAAAGGGACTCTGGAGAGGGCTGGCTTCACGAGTATGCGACCTGTGCAGTCACAGAGCGCCCGAACTTAGAAGGACTAACTCGCTGCTGTTGCTCTCTTGAATTTGAATAAGGGTCACTGCATTTTCATTTTGCACTTAGCCTGGCATAGTAGTAGCCTATCGCGGTCTTATTTTGTACCCTCTCTCACACACATCTCTTTGCGTTTAATAAACATGATAAGGCAATTTATTATTAAAAGTAAGAAAGTGTCTTGTGCCTAGAATGAACCTATTAACTCACAATTTAGCTTTGTAAAGTTTTTGTAAATAGTGAGCATGAGACCTCAATATCCTGGATTCAGGTGTTTCCCAACTATTTTGAAAGTATTAAATGTGTCTGTAAGCGGGGCGTGGTAGTGAGCGCCTGTAGTCCCAGCTACTCGAGAGGCTGAGGCAGGAGAATTGATTGAACCTGGGAGGTGGAGGTTGCAGTGAGCCGAGATTGCGCCATGGCACTCGAGCCTGCATGACAGAGCTAGACTCCCTCTCAAAAAATAATAAACAATCCAGCACTTTGGGAGGCCGAGGCAGGTGGATCATTTGAGGTGGGGAGTTCGAGACCAGCCTGAGCAACCTGGAGAAACCCAGTCCCTATTAAAAATACAAAAGATTTACCGGGCGTGGTGGTGCATGCCTGTAATCCCAGCTACTGGGGAGGCTGAGGCAGGAGAATCCTTTGAACCTGGGTGGCAGAGGTTGCAGTGAGCAGAGATTGTGCCATTGCGCTACAGCCTGGACAAAAAGATCGAAACTCTGTCTCAAACTATATAATAAATAAATAAATATTTTCATATTTTACATCCTTTTAAAATACCTTTTTGAAATTCCACACAACTTGAACAGGCCTTGAGAAATAGGAAGCTAATTTTCCTTGTAGCTCTGATGTAACCTCATATTACATTCCCTATAATTAAAATTAAACTAAGCCACCATGGCATGTGTATACCTATGTAACTATCCTGCAAGATCAGCACATGTACCCCAGAACTTAAAGTATAATTAAAAATATATATATAAAAAAATACCAAGCTGCATAATATTTATGTCATGAGACATTATATTGCAGTAATAAAGATCTTAATTTCTTTTAAAAAAAGTAACTTTGGTAAGTATTTATTGTGTTAAATGTGTCAAATAGCAATGCTGTATTTAAAAGATTTCCCAGCATAACAGGAGGTTAATGTGGATAGGACTGTCTTCAGGAGCAAGTTCCCGAAAGGTGTGTTTAAATATATTTGAATCTTACTTAAATATACAAAAGAGGATCTTGTTATTTAAAGAAATTCTCTGGGAAAGAGTTCTTTTCTAAAGCAAATATCACCTCACGGTTTATCGTTCTGTTATTCTAGGTTTCATGGGCTGACTCATTTTACTTAGAGCAATCTAATTACACTGACCTTTGTCGAGAATTGGGATTGATGAGGTCCTAGATCGATCCCCATCAAGTCCAGTTTCCTTTCACTGGTCTCTGGACAAGGACTGCCACAGCCCCGGCTGCCTGATGCAAACGCACACCTTTGGTCTTCAGGGGCAATGGTGAGACAATTCCAGTGGATCAATGAAAAGTCATCATCCTTGTTTGAGTGTTCTAAAGTGCATTTTTCAAATGAGTGATTTGGAAGTGTCATCTCTGACTATGGCAAAGAGCCCTTTTTAGATTTTAAAGGCCTATGAATTTCAGTAACACTATGGCAACATGGAAACAAATGAGACATTTATTTTTCTGTCACAGTCAAAATCTGAAACAGATTTCAAAGACTTTTTGGCTCCTCCGTTTTTTCCTTTTAATAATTACAATAGACATTTATTTAAACATTTGCAGACAAAATAATTCTTAAATTTTATGTTTCAGGTTTTACCATCTTCATAAAAATACTTGGAGGACAGCTGCATCCACAGACGTCAAATACGTGATGACTTCTTTGACCATTCTTCTCAGTCTTTTCTTTCCCAAATAAGCACTTCCAGATACGGTTCAAGGTAGGATTTATCCTCTTTGTGTTTGGTCCGCTGCTCTTAAGATCTGCTGTCTCAGAGTCAGATCCAGTGTTCTGATGCGAAACATCCTGCCATTAGAAAGTCCGCTTACGGCTTCCTTTACCTCTTTGTCCTTGTACATCATCTCATCTCACATTTACCCATTTCTTGAATCCTGCAGCACTGTAATATCATTTTCAAATACCATCCAGCCACCTGTCTGATGCTGCAGTAGCCGGCCTGCCAGCCATCTTGACCCAAACGTGAAATATTGCCTTCTCTCTCTCTTTTTATTTATCTAATTTATTTTATTTTTGAGATGGAGTTTTCGCTCTTGCTGCCCAGGCTGCAGTGCAATGGCACAGTCTCAGCTCACTGCAACCTCCACTTCCCAGGTTCAAGTGATTCTTCTGCCTCAGCCTCCCAAGTAGCCAGGACTACAGGCATGTGCCACCATGCCCAGCTAATTTTTGTATTTTTTATAGAGATGGGTTTCACCTTGTTAGCCAGGATGGTCTTGATCTCCTGACATCTTGACCCGCCTGAGTCTACCTCCCATCGTGCTGGGATTACAGGTGTGAGGCACCATGCCTGGCCTCTCTTTTTAAATTTTGTTCTTTGAAAATATAATTTCAGAATGTAAGTAATAATAATGAGTAGGATATTTTTTTAATTACTCAGAAGCCAAAAAGACATCCCCAAATTGTTGGGTGTTTTCTTTCTGAAGGTACAGCTTTATCTTCTGCTTAAAGAGTCTTAGACTTGATGGCTTTTGGTCAAAGATCATTACAAGATTTACAAACTCAACACTCAATAGTGTAAGAAAAAAATATGTACATGTAGAAAAAAATGCTCGAAGAAAATATGCTCAACTATTCACTGTAGATAGTTATTGCTGAGTGGTATGAATATGGCTGATTATTCCTTCCTTTGTATACTTTTCTGTGTTTAATGCAATGGGTATATATAAGTTCATTTAAAAAACAGTTTTAAAAAATATTTATAAAACAAAGGGCAGGAAGGCAGCAAAACACAATGCCATGTGTGTACCTATGCAACTATTTTGCACGTTCTGCACATGTACCCCAAAACCTAAAATGCAATAAAAAAGAAAAAAAAAGCCCCCCCACCAAAAAAAATGTTACTAGAAGTGCAAACTAGCACTGATTTCAGAGCATGGAAAAAGTTACTCTTTGCAAAACAATTTCGTAAATGACCAGCAATATCATTTTGGTGCCTAAAATTATTAATTCCAAGTTTTTGAAGGAGCTAATGCAGAAAGAAAGACTAAAAGTTGCATACATGTCTAATTTACCTTTTTCTCCTGAATTTGATCTTAAATGAATAGATTCAAGTAACCCCCGCTACCCCTTGCCAAGAAACAGCTGCTTCAAAGGGCAAAATAAAATATCGTATTTAAGTAACCCAGTTCTAGAACTCTGTAACTCAGACCGCCTCAACTTGAGGAACCTGTGACAACAGGTTGGGAGTGTAGCTGTGAGCATGGTTTGGGAGTAGCTGCCATATTGGTTTATTTGTGTAAGCTTGACCCAACAGGGTTATCTTCATTGATTCCATGCAGTCATCCTATATCATGTATTTAGTATAGCCAACTTGTTTAATAATTGTGATGGAAGACTTAGTCCTAAAGATTGATATCTAGTTTTGAGTCACAACCCTCCAATATAGGGTAGACTAGGTATAAATTTAAACCTCACAGTTCTATATCTGGGCCTTGAGTAATTTTGCTCCATGGCTCACTGGGGATGTGGTAAGGGGAAGTCTACAATTTCAGCCTATTTAATTGTGTTCATACAAACATCATCCTATTGATCAAGTCATGGTTTCTGCCAAGTTGCCATCTTCCAAGAGAGCAAAAAGAGAAGTATTTGCTTCCTCCCGATTGTTAAGTTTTACTTTTGCTATTCCAGCCTAATGCCTAAGTATGATTTGCCTGGGCTAATTATTAAAGTCAGTTTCTGCACTCTCAGCGCACGCCAGAAGTGGAGGTAGGAGGTGAGGGGAATGAGTAAATGATCCTGAAACTGTCATTTGCTGCACATAAGCTAGAATTAGCTAAATTCTGCCAAGAGTTACAGTTCTCACTTCTAATGACTTCCTTAATAATATTTTTAAAGGGACCACACAGATGCTTCAAAATGTGTGCTGTAAAAAGGAATGGGGAAGAATTCTATATACTGATATGGAATAATCTGTAGAATATTTTGTTAAGTGAGAAAAGCAAGGTGCCAAACCATAAAGTGGTATGCTATTTTGGGGGCAAAAAGGGAGAGAAATATGAATATGGGTGAGTGTGTGTGTGTGTGTGCACGCGCGCATGTGAATGTGCTTATATTTGTGAAAAGACACACTGGTAGGATAAGCCAAAAATTAATTAAATGTTTATGAGAGAAGGAAGAGAACAGGTTGGAATTGGGGAGGAATGATGCTTTCTCTGAATGTACCTTAGAATAAAATTTTGGCCTTGGATACATTCCTGTTTTAGATGTTAAAAAAATAAAAGTAAACCAAAAGAAAAATTGACAGCAGATACATTTCACACAAGCTTTTTTCTGACTTGGTCCCCTTTTATTCTGAGGAAAGAATTTGAGGCAGCTTAAATCAGAGCACAGATACATACCTTATGCATTTGGATAAATTTTGATTTGTCTGTAACTGCTAGAGAATAAAATCATTTGGAGAGACTCTTGCCGGGCAACTGTGTAATCTGGTGGCATTGGTATTGGTAAGTACTAACTCACTCTTTCCTCTGAAAAGTGACCTAAGAAACAAGAGTGAGTTTTGGGACAGATTCTGCCTGTGCCCCTGAGAAATGATGCCACCACAAGCTGACTTTCAGGATTTTTGAAGTAATGTACTTTATACAGGTAAACATTTGATGATTTGCTGACTTATATTTGGCTCATAATGATACAACATAAAAGGTGAGCATATACGTAATTCATCCTGGCTCTGCAAGCCTGAGGTCTGGCAATGCTAACGAGGAGAATGGAATGAAGAGCTGCAGCTAAGACTAAAATAGAACGACTTTTCGCTCTCCTTTTTCCCTCTTTCTTCAACTTCTGATTGTTTTGTTTAAATACCAGAATAAGATAGAATGCCTGTGATTGAAAATATGTATCACACCTGTAATCTCAGCACTTTGGGAGGCCGAGTTGGGTGGATCACCTGAGGTCAAGAGTTTGAGACCACCCTGGCCACAAACATCAGCTGGGTATGATGGCACACACCTGTAATCCCAGCTACTCAGGAGGCTGAGGCAGGAGAATCTCTTGAACCTGGGAAGTAGAGGTTTGCAGTGAGCCAAGATCATGCCATTGCACTTCAGCCTGGGCAACAAGAGCAAAACTCCATCTCAAATAATAATAATAATAATAATAATAATAAAGCTTATGTTATTATCCTTGACACCTATTCAAAATCTTTTTAATTTTCCACCATCTAAAAGAGATACTATTTAACTATATAAAACTCAGGCAATAAAATACATTTAGCTCTTTCTAATCAGGCAGTGAGACATAAACTGTTGGGGCATACCGCTCGGGGCCACTGCTGTTTGAGATTAAAACACTGGCATTGTGGTCTGTACGGAGAGCCTTCATATTCTTGCTGCCTTTCCCAGTCACTGCCCCAGCGTTCTTGCTCTTCTCTTCCATTTAATATTTTGGCAGTCAGAGTCAGGGCTGTATTCCTTTCTGTTTCTAGAGTATAAGTCTGATATCTACCACAAAATATTAAATTTACTGAGTAGGAGGTGAATGGTGGGGGAAGAAAATAGGAGGTGAATGGTGGGGGAAGCAAGTGAAATTTCATCTGTATTTACAGCCACTCCCATCACTCACATGACCAGAGCCTCCTGTCAGATCGGTGGTGGCATTAGAGTTTCATAGGATTGTGAATCCTATTGTGAACTGCATATGTGAGGGATCTTGGTTGTGGGCTCCTTTTGAGAATATAATGCCTGATGATCTGTCACGATCTCCCATTATCCCCAGATGGGACCGTCTGGTTGCAGGAAAACAAGCTCAGGCTCCCACTGAGTCTACATTATGGTGAGTTATGTAATTATTATGTCTTAAAATGTAATAAAAATAGAAATAAAGTGCACAATAAATGTAATGTGCTGGAATCATCCCGAAACCACCCTGCCCCCAGTCTGTGGAAAAATTGTCTTCTATGAAACTGGTCCCTGGTGCCAAAAAGATTGGGGATCGCTGATTTAGAGTACTGTTACATCTCCTTTTACCCTCCACCACCTGCATCCGTAAAGGCAGTAATAGACACTAAATAATACGTTTGGAGTTGAGTGTTTTATGTTTGATCTCCAAGCCGGCAAGTGTGTTATCCTTTCCATTATACAGTTAATACTAATTGGACATCTTTAGCGTTTTGATAATATGTGGAAATCAGATTCTCTTTCTTCTCAGGCTTCACTATCCCAGAGAAAAGGTAGACAAGCAATCGTACTTTAAATTGTTACTGCACTCTAATCAAATCTGTTTTCTGTTTTCAGTGTTATTAATTATATTTTAGTAGGTATCAGTTCATCAAATAAGTAGTGCAATTTTACCTTTTATTTTTATTTTTTTGAGACAGAGTCTCACTCTGTCACCCAGGCTGGAGTGCAGTGGTATGATCTCAGCTCACTGCAACCTCTGCTTCCCGGGTTCAAGTAATTCTCCTGCCTCAGCCTCCGGAGTAGCTGGGATTACAGGTGTGCACTACCACACTTGGCTAAGTTTTTCTATTTTTAGTAGAGACAGGGTTTCCTCATATTGGCCAGGCTGGTCTCAAACTCCTGATCTCAGTTAATCTGCCTGAGTCAGCCTCCCAAAATTCTGGGATTACCAAAGTTCTGGGATTATCATGGTGAGACACTGTGCCCAGCCCCGATTTTACCTTTATATTATGCACGTAGCTTATCCCTAAGTTTCTTTCCCCCCCAGCCAGAAGATTTTTATGCTTGGAAATGTTCCTGATTTCAAGATGGTATCCCCCTATTTATTTCATAATTTTACTTGTGACTCAATAATTTGATTGGTTGGATAATGTTGCTAATGAAACCAGTGTCATTTTTATCTCTATATAAATTGGTTAACTTTGTTTTAATTCATTTAGCAATCTCTTTTGAGTGGCTGCTGTGTGTCAGGCATGGTGCAAAGTGCAGGGCAAAAAGTGCTGTGCAAACCAAACATGATCCCCCTACGACTGGGAACAGGGCAAGATGAGCTCTCTCATCACTCCTGTTCGACACAGAGTGGAAGTCCTAGCCAATGCAATCAAGCAAGCAAAGGAAATAAAAGGCATTTACAGTGGAGAGAAAGAAGTATTTAGTTCACAGATGATGTGATAATTTGCATAGAAAATCTCAAAGCTTTAACAGGAGAGCCTCCAGAACTAATATGTGAACTTAGCAAGATCAGAGGATACAGTCTCATTGTTCATTTTATCTTTAAAGTAATCCCATGAATTTGCTACTATTATTTTTTGGGGGGAGGGAAGTAGGAAAACAGAAGTATAAACACAAAGGTTAAGCGAACTGTCTTAGATCTTACAACTAACAAGCAGCAAAGTTGGTACTCCAACCCAGAAATACATGACAAAAAATATTAATCACCATGCTAGGGCATTTTAAATTTAGTATGCTTGAAATGCAAAGTCTCAGCCCTTACCCAGAGATTGTGATTCTGATGGTAGAATAGGGGTAAGTCCTGGGGAGCTGTGTGTTCACAAGCACTCTGGGAGAGTCTCATGCAAGCTGTTCAGAGAACCTGTCATTATATGGACTGTATATTTCCTATACATGCACAGTATTCTATTCATATACTATTTCACACCGTACCTCTAACCCAGGAAAAACGATCTCTCAGTCGAAGCTCAGTGTGACAGAAACCAAACCAACCTTTTTCTGGTCTCATCAGTGGATTTAAAGAGAAGCTAAACAAACCTAGAAGGGCCAGTAGAATCCACATTTGAGAAGGCAAGGAAGAAAAGGCAACATTTCAAAGGGCTGATCCCTCTGTGAGACCCACAACCGAGTTTTTTTTTTTTTTTTTTTTTTGACATGGGGTCTTGCTTTGTTACCCAGGCTGGAGTGCAGTGGCGCAATCTTGGCTCACTGCAACCTCCAGGTTCAAGCAATGCTCCTGCCTCAGCCTCCCAAGTAGCTGGGATTACAGGGGGCCACCACCGCATTCAGCTAATTGAGTGCAAGTTCTAGCAAAGAACCTTGCAGAGAATCCCACAGCCCATTGCAGTGGAGGGGCATCCCAGCAGAAGCCAAAACACTGGTGGTCTAGAGAGAAAGGGGAACTTGAAGAGTGAGTTCAGGGGTTCAATGAGGGTACAAGGGGATAAGACTAGGGAACTGTGTATTTAGAACTCAGACAGCTAGTGTAGGATCCATAAGGATGAGGGAAGGGCCAGGTGCAGAGGCTTTTGCCTGTAATGTCAGCAATTTGGGAGGCCAGGCAGGGAGGATCGCTTGAGCTCAGGAGTTTGAGACTAGCCTGGGCAATATAGTGAGACCCCCATCTCTATTTTAAAAAAATACTAAAGGATATTAAATTAAAAAATGAGGGAGGGATTGGGATTGGAGCGTGCATGGCCCATTTTATTTTATTTTTGTAATCATAATTATTAACTATTCCTGGATTGAGCATTTTCCATGTGCCGGGAATGTTGTTAGGTACCTCACATGCGCTGTGATGTGGAATCTTCAGAGCAACTCCCCGAGGGAGGACTGTTGATTATCACCGGATAATGAATCTGACCAGTGAAGTTGAGTGGACCATGAAAGAGACTCAGGACCACAAGATAGCAAAGCTGCAAAGAATTTTAGGGATGATTTAGTCCAAGGGTATATCCTATGCTTTAGTTTAAAAAGGGACAGAAAGGGCTGGGTACAGTGGCTCATACCTGTAATCCCAGCACTTTGGGAGGCCAAAGCAGGGGGATCACTTGAGCCCAGGAGTTCAAGGCTACAGTGAGCTATGATTGCATCACTGTACTCCAGCCTGAGCAAAGAAATGAGACTCTGTTTAAAAAAAAAAAGGTAGCGGGGGAGGGGAGAGAGAAGAAAAGGCAAAGCGTTCCTGGAAGGAGAGCAGCTGTGTGAGTGGTTTCTCAACAATGAGGAAATGGGATAGTTTGGGACAGGGGCCTGTGCTACAGGCTTTGGAGAAGAGACAGTGATGTCAGGGCTCCTCAAAGCTGGAGCAATCAGAGTCACCGCTAGAGCAGTGATGGGGGCTGCCTTGATATAATTGCACAACTAGCCTCTCTAGGGCACCGCATTGTTTCCAACCTACTTTTCATATCAAGCATAGTAGTTTCTCACAACTAATCTATGAGAAGGTCTTTCAGTTGAATTCTTTTGGTAGAATCTAAGAAAAATCAGCTTAAATTAGCCTACGCTGAAAAGAGGGATTTATTATGAAGATATAGTATGTTCCACAGAACCCAAGGCAAAGGCAAAGTGGCCTCAGGAAGGGACTGGTACTAGAGACTCGGCTGTTGTCAGGACTCGCCCTGCATCTCTAATCACTATCCCCCTGACCTCCTGTCTGCCCTGCATCTCTAATCACTATCCCCCTGACCTCCTGCCTGTCATCTTCTGCTTGTCTGGTCCAGATGGGAGTAGAAAATGCCCAACCCATAGCTTCTGAGCTTAGATATTAGGTCCCTTTTCCCCTCAGGTCTATATGTCAACATAGAGACTCTGAGTGGTCCAGCTTGGATCAGCTTCCCATCCTGATGCAATCAGGTGAGTCAGGGGATAGGGTCATCTTGTCCATCATGACTACTGGGTGTCCCAGGGAGAAGTGGCCAAGCAGAAAACTGAACAGATGTCTTACACGTGGCAGCCTTCTCTGTAACACAAGTATACGTCATCCCATACGTACACATTTTCAATGATGCCTCTGCCTAACAAGGCTCTACTCCAGCTACAATCCCAAATGTACTCTTTCCCCAACAGAAGGTAACTCAACAGCTCATAATCAGCTGCTATAGGCAATACTGGGGTCCTGGCACCAGGGTTTATAGACAGTGTTATCTTTTTCCATATAAGGGAATATTGACCCCTTTGCCATATAACATGATGGTCTAAGGTCCAGGGCGTGGGAAGTGAATATATTTGGATACCATTATTTAGCTTCTCACAAGTAGCTTTATTAAAAAGGTAAAGCATGATGGGCACAGTAGTTCATGCCTGTAATCCTAGCACTTTGGGAGGCTGAGGCAGTCGGATCACCTGAGGTCAGGAGTTCAAGACTAGCCTGGTTAATATGGCGGACGCTCATCTCTACTAAAAATACAAAAATTAGCTGGGTGTGGTGGTGGGCTTCTCTAGTTCTAGTTAATCAGGAGACCAAGGCAGAAGAATCACTTGAACCTGTGAGGTGGAGGTTGCAGTGAGCCAAGATTGCACTACTGCACTCCAGCCTGGGTGACAGAGCGAGACTCCATCTCAAAAAAAAAAAAAAAAAAAAAAAAAATAGACAGGGGAAATTGGTTTTGAATGTATTTTGTTTAACTTAACGTATCCAAGACATTATTATTATTGCAACATGTGATTAATATAAAACTATCAATAAGATATCTAACATTTTTTTTTCCTGACTAGGTTTTCAAAACTCTGTGTGTCTGCACGTGCTTCCTCTTCTCTCTGCATCTTGTGGGGAGTTGTTCTTAGACTGGGGCACAGCTGCACACACCAGGGGGTTGTGTCCTGTTAAGGGGACCTGCCCAGGATCTCTGCTTTCATAGGGAAGGGTGGCTTTGCCCAGGAGAATAAGCACCATAGGCTCGGTTGCCTGGCACCCTTTGACTAGGTATCAGATACTCAGAGGCCATGTGCCTGTCCTGGCTTAATCAGCTGGCAAAGCCCCTCTGTCTGGCACCTGGAGACCCTGGCCGTGCCTTTTCCCATGGGAAGTTGAATTCAGGCACAACCCCTTTCTCTGGCAGTTGTGTGTGGAGGGGCTAGCCTGGCAGGGCTGAGTCCTTGGACCTCACTACCTATTGCCAGAAAATAGAAGCGTGGAAAAGT